TTAAATCGAAAGCGGGCAAAAACCATTGCGATATTCGGAATCAGCACGTTCGATTACCTATTGTCAACTGAGTTTGAGCTCAAAAGCGAGGAGGCAGTTGGTGGCCTTCCCTCGTCAGTTATTGTTCGGTGTCCTATTTTGTCCTCTTCTTACCGTCTGCAGCATTCGGCTAACATTTCTTGTTTTGCTATTTCACTCTGAGGTAACTGACTTAAAATTTCGGTCAACAACTGAAATTTTTCTTTTTATAAACTTCGTAATGACATTTCTTTGTTATCTGACGAGAATATCAATCGTTGTTGTGTACGTGGCGCAATATCTTGAATCAGTGTAAGGAAAAAGTCACCATTATTAATAAAGTAATCAATTTCTTGACTAATATTTATATCGCATATGTCGAGTATATAAATACTATTCAAGGATGGTAACATAAGCGCATACCTGTCTCGGTGTATATATTTTAGCAGATTGTCACATGTAGATAGACCGATCAAAATAACATTGCTTGACTCAACTACCATAATATAAGCGAGACATTCATCGATTGTGCAAAATCCTCGGTTAGATGAATGTAGTTTTAAGATATCATCATCGATGAAGTCAAGGCAGACTATAATTTTGGACGAGCCAATCTGTTGCACCTTGGCCAAAAATAGTTGTTTGCAAGTAAAATAATATATTTTTTGATGGTTTTTGAGATCTGTTTTCAATTTCACAGAAGAATATAGAATATTGTTCAATGTAATATTTGTATCAAGAATATAAATACGTACAATTTGTGATAGTATGAAAATATGACGCCAAATTTTATCGTCGATACGACTATTGGCCATGATCAAAAACATCTTTTCATTTTTAACAGATAATAGATAATTGTAACATTTCTGTACATTATCAAATATTCTGGAAACATCAACAATGCGACGAAGCTGTGATAAACTGTCAAAGCAGCTGTACCCATTATGACTGTGGCTTGTATCTAACAAAATAATCAGAAAATCTTCAAAATTAAATTTCTCGTTAGAGTCTTCCAAGGTTGAAAATGCTGTTGTTTGCCGTCGTAGACTTGAAGCATAATCAGCTGTTATTAGTTGCTCGTGGTTTATCGACATGCTATACTCCGTGAGCAATAGCGAAGTTCAGTGTATGTTAAGAAAAGTTATTTATCTATAAAAAAAATAATCTCATTTAACCTTCAAAACTAGTTATTTGTAGTACCCTCCCAAGCAAAAATCATCTATGAGAAAAATCTAGATAAATTTCGTCTGTAATTGGGTGATGCACGACCAGTTCCATCTAGATTACTAGTTGGAAAACGGACTTTTAACTAGATGCGTCCATATAGAGAAGCGTATTTCGAAGTTCCAGAGCTACGAAAAGTGTTCGAATTATGGTCAAACTTTAGAGGTCTTTGATTTTGACACCCTCCGATTGCAAACCTAGCTAAAGCTCAGCAAGCTAAACTGCAAGTATCTAGCCTTCTTAGAAAAAAAGCTATAGTCATTTTACCATCTCAGCGAAAAAATGCATTTTCATACGTTTCACTAAAACTTCTATAGCAGGTCAAACAAATACAGTATCATCACCAAACTGTGCCAAAAAATTGCCTGATACTTAACTCTATCTAGCAACACAATTTGAGTCTTCAATGCCGGATGTATCAATCAGAAAAAAATTCAACATTGAAAAAGCGCCGGATATATATACAACGCTTTTTCAATATTGAATTTTTTTTAAACCAAGTTTGGTGGTGATACTGTACTTGTTTGACCTGCTATAGAAGTTTTAGTGAAACGTATGAAAAATGAAAATTTGAAATGTTGCTCAAAAAATATTTTTTTCTCAAACAACAACCGTATTCTTTTAATTCTTTCATCGGCAGTTTATAGTGCGTTTTTCACTCTACAAAATCCGGTATAAACAATATCTTCACTATACCTTGTTTCTGAGTTGAAAAACTTTTTTCATCTTATGTCAGTAAATAGTCAAACCTATTAAAAGATTATTTTTTGAGGAACGATCATAGTTTCGAACCAAAAATCAAATATGGTTAGATGCGCAATAAAATTCTCTATAGAATCTGCTATTGAGCTTTTTGATACTTTCAAATTTCTAAATCCGGCAAGGTCCTTTATTTAAAATCCTGTCTTTCTTGATAGTTTTAGCGCGGAAACTGTTGTGCAGTATTTCCCTAATGAGGGAACGTTTTTCGGTGAACTCTTCCAATTTTGTTCAGTCATAGGTCGATTGATAGAGGGTATCGAGCTAGTAAAAAGTCTAAAAGGGTTTGGGGTCATGACTCTTGAAGACCCGTTTTTCTGGAAAATCAGTTTTCAGAAACTCTAAAAAAGAACTAAAACTCTTTTCTAATGTGGCCTGATTGTAGCCAGGAAATGTCTGATTAACATGAAACATCTTCCAGCTCTACACAACCTTTCTTTACAAAGTTATAGAATTTACAACAAAAGCCCTAAATTAATTGCTTGTTATTTCTGTAGCTTTCAGCTGACAATAAACATGTAGGCCTTCTCTCTGCTCACCGAACCCAGCTTTTTTAATATGTATCGCGAACAATGGTTAAATGCTACGTTTGTTATACCGTGTATTTACCGATCTAAACGTACAGTTCCGCACGTATTTATCATTGAAAAATGTTTTTTATGGTTCAATGGCAACGTAAGGGATTCGATTCCAGATCTTACCTTTGACGATCTGGATTCACTGTTACAATTCCCTGAGTCATTTTTGTAACACTTTTTTTTTTGTATTGCTGTTTACTTTTCTAATTTGAGTTCCGGTGTATATGTTCTGTGCTTATCGAAGACGTCTTTTGTGATAACCTCCTTTCCACATTCCTCTATTTCTCTCGATTTATCCTTCTAACGATTTATGGAAAATTCTCTAGTATTAAAATTCTTATCTTCTTTACTTGCGTTTTGCATCTGATGTTTTATCACAATATGTGTATTAATAGACCCATAAATGGGTATTAATTCTCAAATAAAGCAAATTCTCAACATGTAGGCCTTCTCTTGGAAGTTCTATAACTTTGTAAAGAAAGGTGGTGTAGAGCTGGGAGACGTCTCATTTTAATCAGACATTTCCTGGTGACAATCATACCACATTAGGAAAGGGTTATAGTTCTTTTTTAGAGTTTCTGAAAAACTGGTTTTCCAGAAAAACGGGTCTTCAAGAGTCATAACCCCAAACCCTTTTAGGCTTTTTACTAGCTCGATACCCTCTATCAATCGACATATGAATGAACAAAACTGGAAGAGTTCACCGAAAAACGTTCCCTCGTAAGATTCCATCTATGAACGCTACAACTCACAATCCTTTTACTCGGGTAAAAATTCTTAATAGAAACTACTTCATCAGAATGGTACATATTGTTTGCAAGTTTCAAATACACATACCTCTAAGAGATATAATTTTCCGAATTAACTGGCGAGCTTCTTGAACAAATCCAGTTACAGTTGTCATATCAATTTCTCGATAAGTTATTTGAGATTGTGATAAATGTAAAGTATTATATTGAATGAGATAATCAATATTTGGAAGATTAATAAGATCGAGATGGGGAATAGTTGTACTAAAGACATCAGTAATTAATATGATTATTAAAGTATCATTTAGCACCTGTGTATTAGTGTGATTAAAGTTAATCCAACGACTAAACGCTTCTAACACCCGATTACAATCAATAATTTGCAATTTAGTTAAACTAAGTTTAATAGTACGTTTCCATAAAGAAGGAATAAAAGAATTCTTTTGCTGTTAGTTCACTATAAATATAGCTTGATTTTTCTGCCCAACCAAGTACAGATGGTACAAAATTTGAAAGCCATTCATCTTTGATAATTGTTGATATAT